AGAGATGGACGGAATGACGGAGCCCTATCATGCCAAGTGGACGTACGTGATCTCAAATGTGATGGAAGATGTATTTTAATGTTTGCAAGATATGCTTTTAAAGTGCATGACATTTTATGAGTAATCTACGATATAAATGGTTTGTTTTCAATTAGTTTCGTTTTTTATTTACTTGTTTAAGAATGAAGTTGCGAAAAGCCACCTCACTTAACGTAAAGCTAACTTTAGCATGTATCTCAGGATCAAGAAAGTTCGAGGTGGATAAGGGCAAAGGTCCGGCTTGAGGACTATTTATGCTAGTAAATTATTTATTTTCGGTTTATGTTATTGCATTGTCGATTAATATTTCATAACAATGTATTCTAGACGACATGTATTTATAAGTGTTAATGTTTCGTTACGAACCCTAGGTTTAAAGGTGTAACATAAAAATAATTCTTCACACATGAATCAACATTTGAAATTTAATAAATTTTGTGATCCAAGTGTTAATTCTTTTATTTTGTAATTTAATTAAAAAAGCATTTTATATTAAATAAATTATCAAATCAATAAAAAGGGTGGAAGGGAAGAGCTACAATGAGAAGGATATTTAACATGTTATAAGCTAAGGTTGTAAAATTAAGGGTTAAATGTATAAAATAGTAACCTATTTTCATAAAAAAAATTATTATAATATTTTATTTTTGTTTTTTTATTAGAGCAATGTACTTTCAAATTATTTTTTATTAAGACATTGTACTTTAAAAAATCTACCCATAATAGCAATGGATAACCTGTTACCTTTTAAACCGATCAACCCTTTGACTTTTTTGCTTGTGTGGCTTTAATGAGTGATGTGGTGACACATCATGTTGATGACTTAATTAAAATTAAAATAAAAACTTATTTCAAATTATTATTAATGATTTTTCATTTTTCATTGCTATGATCTAAAAAAACATTTAATTTTTTTTACTTTTTCTTATTAAGTTGCATTCAAATTAAATATTCTTAGAGTAAAATATTTATTAAATAAATATGAAACATCATTTTCGAGATATATTTTGTTTGTAAGACAGGTAACTTTTCCTACTTTATGTTGTTCAAATAAATACATATCTTTTAAAGTTCTCTTTAAAATATTAACGAAATAAATTGTAATCTATTTTTTTAATATTGGTATATTAATAAATAATTCAAAAAAATCTAATTAATTTAATATATTTATACGCCAAGTAATTTTTTTTGAACAAATATAATATATTCTTTAAAAGATAATATTTTTTGGTAAAAAATGAACAATTCTTATTTTTCTTTTTTCAAAAAACACATATTTTTTAAATTATTAGCGAGATAAGTTGTGTTCTACTAGTTTTATTGATATTGGTATATTAATGAATAATTTTAAAAAAATTAATTCATTTAATACATTTATTAAATAACATGTAAAATATATAAATATTAAAATTAAAAAATACAGTGTTTAATAAGAACTAGTAGATGCTATAATAAAATAATTTTGAAAGTACAATGATGTAGTAAGAAAGTCACATCACTATAGTACATGTGGACAGCCTACGTGGACAATGAGGTGACATGAAAACCTAGTATAATGGGTAAATTTAAATCAAAAGGTTACCCAATGCTATAATGGATACATTTTTCAAAGTACAATGTTCTAATAAAATATAGTTTGAAAGTACATTGCTGTAATAAAAAAAACTGAAAGTACAATGTTATAATAAAAAAATTTATGAAAGTAGATTGTTGTTTTATGCATTTTGCTCTAAAATTAAAAAATAAAACATATAAAAAATTATAAGGGTATAAAATGTAAAACTTATTTATGATATTTAATAATATGATTAAATTCAAAAAAATTAATATCTGATTCATTTTGAAGGTAACATAGAATCATAATGGTGTATTTATAAAAAACACATATTTTATTTAATATATGATTGTGTATGTTAACAAGATAAGGATATAAAAATAAAAAAGTAAAGGATATTAAACAAATTAAAATAAATAAAGATATAAAAAGTGTAAGTATTAGAAATAATTTCTTAATATTTATGATTTACTAGAAGGGTACTTGTATAATGCAGTGAGATACATCTTTAATATTTCATTTTATTATTTGTCTCAGTCAATGTTATAATACGGTCATATGTGATTTTAAGAAAGCGTTGATGTTTTTATTTTTGAATAATATATAAATAAAAAAATATCATAAAAAATTGACAATTTTTTTTATATTAGTATCAAATTAACTATTTAAATTTTTTTATTCTGTATGTAATTCTTTAATTCAATTTTTTTATTATAAATTAATTAAGGTTCAATAACGAAGTAATTTATATTTGGTTTAATAATATAATTTTCTTATAAAGATAATAAYTAATTATTTTGTTAGAACTCGATAATTMTTCTAATTATATTTTATGTATTTTATATTTTAAAATGAGATGTTTATTCTCTATTTGATTATGTTTATCCGCGGTTATTTACACGAATTCAAATATGGAGCTTTAATAAGTTATATTTATGTATAATTTACTTGTAATCTTGAATTTTAAGTAATATGCATCAATATACAATACTTTATGTATAAAAAATGATTTTTAAGAATTTTTGTCAAATGCTTTAATATAGTATAGATAATAATATAATTAAATAAAATAAATATTCAATATTAAACTCATTTTAAATTTATTGACGAAACGAGTGTAATGGTATAGTTTTATAAAAAGAAAAGTATTTTTAATGTATATTAATTAACATATGATTATGTATCTATACTATATTATAAAGCATTTGACATAAACTCTTAAAAATCATTTTTTAAGCATGAAGTACTATGTATTGATGTATATTACTTAAAATTCAAGATTAGAAGTAATTGCGCATAAGTACAACTTATTGAAGCTTCATGTTTGAATTCGTGTAACTAATTACATATAAACATAATCAAATGGAGAATAAATATCTCATTTTAAATATAAAAAATATAAAATATAATTGGAATAATTATTGCGTTCTAAAAAACTACTTGCTTATTATCTTTATAATAAATAATATTATTAAACCAAAAATAAAAGAATGAGTTAAAAAATCACAAAAAATGTAAATTTAAATAGTTAGTTTGCTACTAATATCAATAACTTTTTTTCAAATTTTTATGATGTATTTTCATATTTATATTTTATTCAAAAATAAAAATATTATCGTTTTCTCTAACATTGTTCAAAAAAACCGTCGGACCGCTTAAACCGGCCAAACCAAGTCAAACCGGACCGTTTTTGGCGGTTTGAGAGGTCTGGCGGTCCGGTCTGGTTTGGAAAATAGCAAAATCGGGCGATCCAGTCCGGTCTACGGTTTGGAACATTTTTTGAGCGGTTTGGACCAAACCGACCGCCAAATATAGATATATATATATATATATATTAATATTAGCAAACCCAACTTTTTTAACTTATTGGCTATGACCCAAATATATCCCTAAGCTTAACATCTAACATAATCAAAATCGACGACTAAAATCATTAAACCATTGAACATATCGACACATTTGAAATCCCTCAAAAACTTTGAAATTTTGAAATCCCTCAAAAACTCCATCAATTTATTGATCTTTCTAATCCATGGTTTGATTTCGGCGCACATCATCAAGACATCAACCATGCGCCGAAATCAAACCATGTGATTCAACCAACTTATATTTGACTTCTATTTTGTTTGGTCAAGAACTCAAGACTCAAGAATTGAACCATTGAATGTTGTGAAGTCGTGGACTTTGTTATTCAATACTCACAATCGAGTTGTAACTTTGTTAATTTGTTTGTTTTCTAATATGTTATATATTTATTTGTTTGTACTTTGGATTGTTTCGACTTTGTACTCTAGAGCTACTTAATTGTTACATTTATTTGTTTAGATATTTTTTTTTGTTAAAATGAATATTTAATCTAAAATTCTAAATTATATATGTTTTTTAAGTTTAATATTTAAACTCCATTAAAGGCCCAAACCGCATAAACCGGTCAGACCAGACCGCCTTTTTGTGGTCTGCTTTAACCGGTCTGGGCACTTGATGTCAAACCGCTCGGTTTGAAAATTTTATAAACCGTTATTACGGTTTGGTTTGTGGTTTGAGGGATTAAACCGCCCAAACCGGATCACGAACACCCCTAGTTTTATCAAAACCACATAAAACTGTATTATAACATCAACTGAGACAAGAAAACCGAAACATTAAAATCAAGATATATCTTGTTGCATTGTGTGAATAGCATTCTAATATTAAAATAATAAAGATGTAAAATAAAAAATAAAAAATAAAAAATAAGTTAAATAAGTAATTCAAATAGTAGACATTGTAATTTTAAAATAAAAAATGATGACGTTTGAATGAATCAAAATGGAGATAAAAGGTGGTTGTGAAGACTTATAGGAGGTATTTTAACCAACCTGCGAATAAAAAAATGGAACAAATACTTTAATGGTAGGCCTGCAATCCTAATGTGATATTTTAACCAAACTTTTTGGGTTTTTTAGATTGATTATAAAAACTATTTATTAATTTATTTCGATATAATATCAGTAATAAGTATTTTTAAGTGTTTGTATAAACAACTTATACCGGTATCAAAATGGTAATAAAGAGTTTTTGAAAAAGTTAAACCCAACTAACTTATAATAATTTAATGAACACTTTGTAGAAAAGTATAAGTTGTTTCAAATGACCAATCCCAAACACCCCCTTTGTTGCAAAATCTTGCCACATAGACAAAAAAAATGTTTTGAAAGTAATAAAAAAAAAAACTTGCATTCATCAAACATATTCGATTTTAGGGGTATTTTGTGATTGTTTATAAAAACAATTAATTGACTTATTGCGGTGTGGTGTGACACCGGTAATAAGTTGTCTTTTTTAAGCAAATCCCAGGCACCCCCTAAACTATAAGAAAATTATGTGTATGAAAGGGAATGAAGCATGAAGCATGAAGCATGAAGCATGGTAAAAAGTGATCCGATGGTTGTGAATTAATGGAAGTAGAAGAAATTTATGAATTTTACAAGCATGAAATGAAAGAAATTCCTCATGAATATCTATGGATGATTTTAGCAGTTGTTGATTTGCTCCTGGAAAATGTCAAATGATCACTCTTCGCCTTTCTGCTGCCCATCTCTGGTTTATCCTCATCGCCAAAGTTGGACACCGGAGCCTCTTCATCAATCCTACCCATTCCCACACTGGCACTCCTTGGCACCCGTCGAGACGCCATCATTATGTGCTGTTTTATATACAAGTCCAGATCTGCCCTGCTGTTTATGCTAAGATCTCCCATCCTAGTTGTGGAGTTGGCTCGGATAAGCTCCCTCAGATCTTCATCGCAGGAGCTGCTGCTGCTGCTGCTGCTTCTGGGCAATTGGGTTCCGAAGGTGATGGCTGAACCGCCATAGGTAGTGCGGTTGGCGCAACTGGTGATGCTTCTGATGTACAAATCTTTGGCTTTGCATAGGGCTTTATAAGGCGTTGTGATGACCCTTATCATTAGATTTTTCTGGTACATGCTCTTCTTGCTCATGTTTTTCAATTCTAATACATAAAACTAGAAATCGAAATCTAGAAAAAGTGTGTGTGTGTGTGTGTGTGTGGAGATGAAAGAGTTTAAATATGTGAAGCTAGGAAAGGAATTGAAATTACGAGAAAGGAAAGGTCAAATGTACGACACGACCAAAAAGATTGAAGAGTCGTCGATGATAAGAGGATAGAGATGCCAACCGTTTAGATACACATCATCTTAAATTAAAAGTTCAATAGTAAATTACACTTTTGATCCATGTGGTTGACATTTACCGCCAAGTTTAGTCCTTATTTTAAACTACTTACATTTTTAATCATTATGGTTGTCATTTTATTTATTTTTGGTCCTTATGGCTAATGGTGTTAACAAAATCTGTTAACTCTAAAGCAATTATATATATATTTTTTCATTTATTTAATTTTATATATTAGGAAATTAAACAAAAAAATTATTATATTATGCATACCTCCTCTCTTCTTCTCCGACTGTAAACTTGTCGGCTACAATGGGTTCGTCGGTTCCATCACTTGCCTATCCTTTCTTCGGCTCTCCTACAACTCCAGCCTCCTACGCAGATATGAGTTTTTTTAATAGTCAAAACAATATTTTCGATGCCATTTCTTTTTGCATAGATGCCATTTCTAGTACTCACCTATGTATGTGTGTATGAACACTTCAAACACTTCCTCTTCCCTACACACTGATCGGTCATCTCTATATCTTGTATGTGTCTCAAAAACATCATGATTGTGTGTGTATACAAGATATGGTGAGTGTAGATCCACAATTGCAGATCTTGTTTTGTTGCATTAAGGTGAAAAACAAATACGACAACAGAATAGACAAAGAACTTGGTTTTGTTCTTTTTCTCTTCAATTGTTGTATTTTTTGATTTCTTTGAGATTTGCTTTAATCGTCCATGTACGTGTGTGCAACATGAAAGGAAGTCATCAGTTCGCTTTTATTTTAATTTGTTGGCAGATTTAAAAACACCTAAATCTGGTGTGTGTGTGTGTGTGTGTGTGAAAGGGGAAGGGGGCATCAGGAACGGTATATGTAATACAAGGAGGAGGCTAGAGTTGTAAAATGATTGAAGAAGGAAATGAACAAGTGAAAGAACCGACAAACTTATGGCTACTAACGAAGTCTACGTTTGTAGAAGAAAAAGAGATGAGGTGGGTATATGTAATATAATAATATTTTTATTTATTTTTCTAATAAAAAGTTGAATAAATGAATAACGTAACAAAATGCACTGAAGTTAACGGACCTTGTTAACAATGTTAGTGACGGGGACCAAAAATAAAATAAAATGACAACCATAATAATCAAAAGTGTGATTATCTTAAAATAGACACCGAACTCGACATGAATAACAATCGTAAGAACCAAAAATGTAATTTACTCAAAATCCATTGTCCAATTAGGGGGGCGGAAAGCCGCTGATTCATTATCCCATTTTACAGAAACCATGTGCATAATAAAACTATCAGTTCTTTTTTATCCTTTTCATTTTAAAATTAAAATTTTCACTTTTTAAAGTATTTATTATTGTTTCACTGAAAAATATGTATTTTATCACATCGATTTTAAAAAGGTGTTTGAGATTATCTATAAAAATAACTTATTGACTTATTCCGGTATGACATCGGTAATAATTACTTTTAAGTGTTTTGATAAACAGCTTATACCGGTGTCAAATCAGTAATAAAGAGTTTTTGAAAAAGTTAAACCATTTTAACTTATAATAAGTTGATAAGGATTTTTGAAGAAAAACATAAGTTGTTTCAAATAAGCAATCTCAAACACGCTGTAAAAACTTCTTTCCTTTAATTCTTCATATTTGATATTTTTATTTATTATATAATATATATATATATATATATATATATATATAATATCATGTGAAAAACTTTTTTAATAATACCACACACACTAAAACACACATGAAAGAATAAAAAGTTAGGTGTTAAGATATATCATTAGATCTTTTTCTTTTTGTTGAATCATGAAAAACATGTTTTACAACAAATATTTACCTAAATACCAATATAAGTTGATAATTGGATTCTTTTTAGAAATTTTAAAATCAAAATAAAGAAACAATCTAAAAATAAAGAATTAGGAACAACATTAAGAGTCTGTTTGATAGTTGCTGAATGGTTTAATGCAGAACGATTAAGTGGTCAGAATGATTAAGAAGCTCTCATGATATAATGCAAAATAAAATATAATTGGTGGATAATTGTTTACAATAAAATTATGACGTTGAATGGTTAAAGAAGACACAAGATATAAAATCATTCAGAGGATTTTAAAACTATTAAAAGGTAGATTTTTTTTTTTGTTAAATAAGATTCATTTTTTAACAAAACTATTTATAAATATACAAACAATTTCTAAGAAATTTGATTCAATAATTGGTATTGGTTGATAGAAATGGGAAAGAGGCGGAAGGTTTTTGTATGGTGGCCAAAATTTCAACCATAAACATTATACTTTTCAGACGTTAATTTTCTAAAATGGGATGCGGTCAGGTCAACCCAGCAGTCCCTCGCTATAACCGTTACCTGTTCTTTTCAGGGCTACAACTTAAAATGTTTTTTAAAATATTTAAAAAGAAAAAACCAACAAACTACCTAATTTTGAATAACTAGAATATAATCGTACAATGTAGCGAGATTCATTTTAATGCTTCGTTTTTTTTGTTTTGTTGATATAATATAATTTATGTAGTTTTGAGAAACTAATCTTTTTTGCTTTTGAATAAAAATAAATTTGAAGACATCATAAATTTTAAAAAAAATATATCGATATTAATATCAAATTAACTATTTAAAAGTTTTTGTTTTTTATATAATTTATTTAATTTAATTTTTTATTATAATTTAATTTAGGTCAAATAGTGAAGTAATTTATTTTTGACTTAACAATAAATTTTTTATAAGGATAATGATTCTGTTAGAACTCGGTAATTATCCTAATTATATTTTAGATTTTTTATATTTTAAATTGAGATGTTTATCCTCTATTTGATTATGTTTATTTGCAGTCAGTTACACGAATTCAAAGATAGAACTTTAATAAGTTATACTTATGCATAATTTACTTGTAATCTTGAATTTTAAGTAATATGTATCAATATACAGTACTTTATGCATAAAAAGTGGGTTTTAAGAGTTTTTTTTGTCAAATGCTTTATAATATAGTATAAATTAAGTTTTTAAAATATTTTTTTAATGATGAAACTCTTAAATCTTTTAAAACCGGTTAAATACACTCTTATAACATGTTAAAACAGATTAATGTAATAAAAATTTAGGAAAAGCTAAAAAAAAATAAACTATCTGATTTTGAATGATCAAATCTCTATTCTTTTAACAGGTAAATCCTTAATTTTTTCCTAAATCTTTTTACCAAATAAATTCTTGAAATTTTTTTGCACAAAAAAATTTGAGACCCTTTTTTGAAAATAAAACATATATATAAATTCTCTCACCATACATTAAAGCAATTTAACAAAGAAAAATTATACCATTTCCATTATTAATTTCAAAGCATACAAAAGTTGTGCTTGAATTATACATTAAGTTCATTAACTTAATTTCTTTTATGTATAAATATTTTTGTATAACTTTAGCATAAATTAAATTCATTATCATACCATTTCTATTTATGTTTTAGGCATAACTTTTTTATGTTTTAGAATCAGTAATGGAAATGGTATATAGTTTTTCTCTGTTTAATTGGTTTTTGTACTTTGTTGTCGATGAGAGAAATTATATATATATATATATATATATATATTTATATATATTTGTTGATCTTCTCTCTCAATGATTTGATGATAATCATTTTTTCCTTATGTGAAGTATTTATGTTTATGCTTTTTCAGTTTCAGCGATCTTCACCGAGTCTGTTCAGTGATCGCTGAAGAACTTGTATTGTAAATCCAATCAGCGACAACGATACTTCAAGAAGATAACACTAACACCAAAGAACCTTAAGCTAAAGTCAAAGACAGAAACTGAAGATTAGAGACTGGCGAGCACGTGATCTGAAGCGGTATTCAGTGATTATAAGCCTGTCTACATATGTGTGAAGACTGCCCAAGCCTCAATGAATGCTGAAGAGTCCTTTAAGTTATTTCAGCATTCAGCGATTAAAAGAAGCTTGTTGAGCACGATTGTTGTTGTTTTGTCCTTATACACACAAATGACAAACTCATACCCTTTCTAAAAGTTAGTACGGTACGGAGCCGACTAGTTGACTCTATTGCCCACTAACTTTGTGAAAGGATGTTTGCTCATGAATAGGCTTTTGTACTATTCAGTGTAGCAAATGACAAGCCTTCCCCTCAAGGCTTGACACGCGTTCTAACCCTACCATGATGCATTAAATGTGCATTTAATGTAACGGGTATAAATAGATGTGTTCTATCTCCATCCAGAGATACACTTACAAAAATCTTACTTTGAGCTTTTTTGCGCTTAAGTAAAAGAACACACACATCTAAGAACAAATATGCTTATCTTCAAGAGCAAGTTAGAATCCCGTTCACTGCATTCTAAACAAGTTCTCTCCCAGATAGAACTTACTTTCTTCTATTTCTTTAACATCAAATCTTTTCTTATTTGCTAAGATTAAGTGTGTAAACTTTAGATTGTTTAGATATGTTTTTCTTACCTTATCTTTCCACAAACAATCTTGTAAAATATGTATTGATTTTCTTTTATCAATATATATTTTAAATTTGAAAATACTGTGTTTGTATTCATCCCCCCTTCTAATCATCCCCCTTTCTACAAACTGTTATACACATCTTGTAGACCCTAAAAAGGACTAACAATATTTTTGTTCATGATTTTGTTCTAAAAAGTTTCGGATTTATTTCTTCAAAACCAAATTCATGATTTTGTTTCTTCAAAAGAAGTTTGGGATTTATTTGTTTAAAAAAAGTTCAAGAATTTATTTGGTAAAAAGATTTAGGAAAATAAATGAGAGTCTTTGACCTCCTAGGAGGTCAATGGTTCAAACCTAGGAGGTCTTTGAACCCCATGACTAGTAAAATCAAAGCTTGAAACAAGTATAAATCCATGGGTAAGAATTTTTGTGGTAACATAACATAA